ACCCTCTTTGGGTCTCTGGCACTTGCAGGGGCTCAAATGGCAGTTCAATAATGAATACCAGCTAACAGCCATACAGCAGAACGTGAACCTCTCCTTGCGTATCTATGACTTGTCTTTCTGACCCTCTGAAGAGTGTAGAATCTCAGGCAGCAGATTGCTTCAGGACAGAGACTTTTCTTATACAAAGTTTAAATCGCTAAGCTGAATACTGTTATTTCATGTTTTTTATGTAACAAGGCAATAGGATAGAAAAAAGTTAGGATTACATAATATTAAAAAAATGGAATGGTTGGCTAGGAGAAAGGCAAAAAACAAACAAACAGAAAGCATGTAATTTGCTCTATGAGGATCCCAGCCAACACATATTCTTCCTACACCCGTATCGCTCAAGACACATGAACACAGAAGCACACAAAAGGTTAACAGCAATCACTCTGGGAAGTTTAATCATAACTCATCAGCAGAAGAGCCCGTGGCAGAGTAAACACCGAAGTGTATTATTAGGCTTGCTAATTGCTAATTAAAATCCCAAGATCAAGTTTCTGGGCACATCTTGCTACATCTGTGCAGTGGGCAGCTCCCAGATGGTATGAAAACCAAGAATGGGGCCTGCTTCTTCCTAAAAGGCTATTCCTGCAGTGTCACAAAGGTATCCACATGCAGTTGCCTACTCTGGACTACAGGCCTGTGAGAAGCTTCTAGTCAATTTCTGGGTCCCAGAAACAAGGCTACGGTTGCATAAAACACCAGAAGGTGCGTAGCTTTCTCCTTGTAGGGAAAGAAAATGGTCATAATATTCAACATACTGTCCTCCTTCCTGGAAACGGACTGGGAAATGGGACAAGGGGACTTTCTGAGGTGAAGCTAACGTTCTTTATCTTGATTGAAATATGGGTTACATGCATGAGTACATTTGTCAAAACTTAAAGAAGCGTTCCCTCTTAAGATTCATGCATTCCTTGGTATATAAATTCTACCTAGGAAATAAGAACCATGGGCAAAACTTGAACTCTATTAGTAGGTTTATTTTCGGCAGTAGTATCGACCAGCAGTTTTGAAACTCCTTTCTATGGGAGCGTCTGGGTGGCTAAGTCAGTCTAACTCTTGATTTCAGCTCAGGTCATGATCTCGCAGTTTGTGGGATCAAGCCCCACTTGGGGCTCTGTGCTGACAGCGAAAAGCCCATTTGGGGTTCGTTCTCTCTCTCTCCCCCTCTCTGCCCTTCCCTGCTCTCAAAATAAATAAACTAAAAACATTTAAGGAAAAAAAAAAAAACTACTATGTATTCCAGACTTGAGCAAGTGAGTGAATACATCCAGGATACGGACAGCCAGGTTTCTCACCACTGGGGACGGTAGTTACAAACATGGGAAGGGGAAAATCAGCATCACCAAAGGGGATAAAATACATCATGTGCCCCTGACACAAAGATAGATCATCACATCTTTGGTCCTTCTGCCAAAAATTCATAGCCTGACTCGAATCATAAGGAAATATTAGACAAAACCAAAGTGAGGGAAATGCTACAAAATAACTAGCAAAATATCAAATTATTGAGGTTAAGAAAAAACAAAGAAAGGCTAAGGAATTTTTCCAGACTGATATGACAACTAAATTCCTGCTTGATCCTGAATTGATCTGGGAGGAAAAAACAAACAAACAAACAATAAAGAACGTTACTTGTACTAATAACGACATTCGAAATACAGACTGGATTAGATTAGTACTATGGCAACATTAAACTGCCCGAATTTGAAAAGTATATTGTGTTTGGGTAAAGGGGTATCCTTTGTCTTAGGAAATATACATTGAAGTACAGTATTTAGTTGGAAAGGACCACAATGTCTCCAAATGACTCTCAAAGTTTCAAGAAAAAGAGAAAAGGGGGAAGGAAGAAGAGGGGAGGGAGGGAGGGTAGTGGGCACATATACAAATGGGGCAAAATATGAACAACTGGTCAATCTGGATAAACTACAAGGAGGTTCCCTGTACCATTCTTGCAACTATCCTGTAAATATGAAATTGTATCAAAATAGAAAGTTTCCTCCCAAATACCCTAAGCTTCCCTCCAAAATATGTGGGTGAAAGGTTCATAATAACTAATTCAATGTTATTATGTTATTAATTCAACTAATTCAATTCTGAGAAATTCTTCTAAGAGTATTGGTTTTAAAATCCTATTTTTTTCCTCTGGTAGCAATCTACAAGACTTGAGTTGGCTCTAAATTCCTTTTTAGAACTAAAAACAACGTGTATAGCCTCAAATAAGATTTTTTAGGATTCCAGTGGCAGATATCATCATTTTAGAAAGTCTTGGAAGATGATAAACAGAAAATGGAACAAAAGTGCCTTTTCACCACCTTCTCTCTCCTGATTCTTCAGTAATTTTTCCTCTAAGTTTGAACAGTGCCAAGTTAAAACCAAACAAGATAAGAAATAATTTATGTGTAGATGATTCAGCTTTCCCACTCATAGAGGAAAAGTGTATTTCCCCCCACCTCAGGCCTTATAAAAGGTCTATACGTGTATATAAATACAGTAATGAACAGAGCATTATGACTCAGAACTGAGAGCTTATTCTCTCTCTCCTATCTTTCTGTCTGTATTTGTGTTAAATTAAGACACAAGTATGGCCTTGGTCCTGGGGGGAGGAAAATAAATAAATAAAAAGCAAAATTACCAAAAACTACCACCGGAAAAAATTACTTCATGGATATCAAAGGAGAATTTTTAAAAAGTCATTTTTAGTCCCAAAGACTCTTTCTGAAACAATAACTATGATATGACTCAGTATGAAAATATTATGCTAAGTATGCATTAAGAAAAATTCACAGGCACAGAGATGAAACTGTAATTGGATTTGTCATTTCAAAGTATTAATGTTGGGTTTGCAGATAATAGAGAATGACATTCTCCTAAGCGAATAAAGAAGTTAGCCAAGTAAGTAAATGCTGTGTTTCTACTGTAAGGAAATACGTGCACAAGTGAAGCAACCTTTTCAGCACAAAAGAAATTTAATACCCAGACCACATGAAAAGTGATCGCTATGGGAATAGCCCAGCTGTTAAAATCCAAGGCGGTTTGTATTAAATCGTCTTACATGTTTATGTAAAGCAGGACTCTCAGAATGACCACCAAGAAGAATTAACTTTGCTGACAAAAAAAGCGATACCTATATTTAATGGAATGCGTACAATAAGTGTGAAAGAAAACGCAAAGTGATTCTTTCACAAAGAAAGGAAGTCCCTCAGTTAGCCCCTCTGCTTGTGATCCTTTCATCAACAGTATCTCCAGGACTAACTCAATTAAGAAAGAGAACAACAATGAATGGGGGGGGGAGGGGTGTTGCAGTTCATTTACAGAACCCAATTATCTTTGTTTCATTGACTGGCCTGATCTGCATAAAGCCACAGAAAAACTTCAGACACTTGTGCCAAATGATTTCAGTATGACAATCCTGCCAAGTTATTTTGGGACTAATTAGCGTAGCCATTCAAAGAAAACAAAATGTGCTCACTATAAAGCACAGAATCCCAAATCTTGCATTTCTGAAGACAGAACTACAGATAGATATCCTTGAGGCCTTGACTTGAACAGATGTAAGATATCTCAAAGAGATGACAAAAAGAATTAACTTGTACGTAACTAGAGACAAAGTGGTACGCTTTAAATCTCAACATGGACACTTGGGTTGTCTAGTAATACAACAGCTTAGTTACTTTAAAAAAATATATATATATTTTTAAGTTTATTCATTCTTGAGAGAGAGACAGAGTGTGAGCGGGAGAGGGGTGGAGAGAGAGGGAGACACAGAATCCACAGCGAGCTCCAGGCTCTGAGCTGTCTGCACAGAGCCCCGACACGGAGCTCGAACTCACAAGCCAAAACATCATGACCTGAGCCAAAGTCGGACACTTCACTGACTGAGCCATCCAGGCGCCCCACTTTACTTTTTTGAAGAAAAAAAAAAAAAAACAAAAACCTACTCTAAATGTTTGAGGACTGAAAATTAACCAAATTTACTAATATTCTCAAATCTGAGTTACACTTTTAGAGAACCTGGTTAGGATTGGGCTTCTCACAGGATATGAACCAAGTAAAGTTTAAAAAAAAAAAAAAAAGCTTATTAACTCAGAGTGGAGAGAATTTCCCTAGACTTCAATCCCTTCCATACAGCCAGATGTAGGCTACATGGCAAAGAAGTCTTGAAATAGTCCTGAGAAGCCAGAGTTTGGGATTAATGGTCCCAACTCTATTTTGCATAACACTTGCACACGAAAATCTCGCCAAGAAGCTTGGGTTTTAAAGACCCAGGTTAAATCACTGAGCAGCCAAAGGCCTCAAGAGGCATCCAAAAGAAAATGAGCTATAATACACAGTGTCCAGGCACAGCTAACCCAGACTATCTCTAGGCCTATTAAACACTGAGAGGCCATCACTGTGGTTTTGAGATACATCAGCCGTTTCCCATTACAATGGAGGACATACCAGCTCTATTTTTAGAGCCTCTGGAAAGATCAAAGCTGAAGGGGCCCTTTTATGGTCTCCCTATCCAGGCCCCTAATCTCTGTTTATTTTTTGTCATTATGTAGGTCTCTAAAAGACACCTCACCAGCACTGCCTGGTATCCCCCCTCCTCGGAGTAACACTTAGAAATTGCTCTCTGACGGTCCACGGGAGGGAGGAACCTGGGGGGAGGGGGGGAGAGGGGAACAAAACCTAGCAAAGTTCATATTCAAACCGGAAATGAACATGAAACAAGTATTGATACAGAACTATAAAATCTAATTCAGTCTCTCTTTGCACACTATAAATCAAACTTCACAGGCTGGTTTCTCTGTGAGAATGAATGGGATAAGCAGCACCAAGAAAATCCCTTCCGGTTTTTAGACCCCACCCCTCCCGGCCAAAAAAGCGCTCAGTTGGTTTCAGAGCCTCTGGCTGGCACAGGTGACGGGCCCAGTTTTAAAAACAAGTCCCTCAAATGCAGAATGACTTACCTTGGAAGAACAAGCTGTACATTTGTCAAACGCCAGGCTGACGGGAAGGACATTATCAAACCGTGACAGAAATCCCCGGATCTGAAAACAAAACAAAACAGTTCACATCAAGGTCAGAATGCCCACACGTGTGAAATGTATTTGTAGTTTCTGACTACAGGTGGGAGACAACACAGTGGCCCTGACATAGATTACTGGCAAAAATAAAGTTTGGCCTGGACGTTTTCCCCTATCAATTTGAGGAAGAACTGTATCATGTCCTTTATTCCTTTAGGAATTGGGGCCTACAAACTTTTTCATGTACATGAGACCTGAAAACACCAAAATACAAAAAGGAAGCAGTCAACTGTGAAGTGCTATTATAATAAAGGTCTTAAAAAATAAAACAGATCAACTAGTTTAATGAGGGCCCAACTCTCACATGCAAGTTAGTGTAAATATGGGTAAGTGTGGGTGTCTAGGATAGGGTATTGGGTGGGGCGTCACAGGTGAGCAGGCCGAGGCAGAGAAGGTGTTAAATATATATCCAGTTATTTGCTTGGCTTGGAACAAATCGGGAGGAAAACACGAAAAAAGAATCACCAAATTTATGGGGAAACAGTGCCACCTTGAGCATAAACTTCTAGACTACAACGGACTGCTGTTCACTGTAACCAGGTTTCACAAGCTGTGATTTAAGTCATTTATTGAGAATATTAAACCTCTCTAGAACTCTGCTTACGCCAAAGGGAGCGTTTTAAACTGTTGTGCGTATCATTAACATATCATCACAAAAAACATGAGCGGTAAACTCGGTGAAGTGTCCACAGGTAAGCCAGAGAACAGGAATCCTCTCATGAGTTAATTTATTTCATCTTCCCAACTGCCCTCATTTTATGTTGATGAAACTCAGGCTCAGAGAGGTGAAGCAACTTGGCTCAGGGCAACAGAAAGTAACAGAGCTAAGATCAGAAGTAGGAATCTTGCCCCCCATCATGGTCCCGGGCCTCCCCCCTGCCCCCCCCCACTTCACCCCTCCCTCTCTTTCTCTCAGGGATCACAGATTTGTCTTCAATATTAGCTCTCAACAAAAATTAACAGTCTCACCTGCAAAGAACAAAAGGACCAAGCCGCTCACCTTTGACCCCTCTAGCCTCCCTCCCTACCGACACTCACTCCTAAGGAAAAACAAAACAAAACCTGACAAACTCTTTAAAGAAATAGGCTTCCTGCCGCACCGTGGTAACCCCATCTTCATGCCCACACTGCACCTAACCCTCTAACTGCATGTTCACGCTGGAAAATCGAAACGGCCATGGAAATCTTTCCAATACCCTTAATGATGCGATCCGAGATCAAAAGAGCATTTGGTAGAAATGATAAAATAGATAGCTTAGATTAATTAGATAGCTTCATTGTGAACCTGTGAAAATGTGACAATCTTTTAGTTCCTTCAATCTCCGGAATGTGGTGACCATTTCGTCATACAGAACTGGAGCCACAATCAGGGTCTTAAGTTTGCTATTCAGGACACCAAAATGGGAGATATCAAACTTCTAGAAAAGACTTTTAAAGCAGGTCATAAATGTGAATGCTGAGATCCTCAAGAGGGCAGGAAGTTACAGGCTTAAAATAATTCTTATAGTGAGCCTTCCCACACCTCCATTACTTTTGTATTAAATCCACTTTAAAAAAAAGTGACTGTATTGTGCATACTTTCCATTGAAGTGTTCATTGATACAGCCTATGATGCTGTCTCCATATGGGCTTCAAGATTTTATTCTTTTTTCTCCTACAACTAATATCAAGTTTTATGTCGTACAAAGGAATACTGGCAATTTTCTCTGCTAAACTGTCTCCTCATTGAAGAGAGACAGAAGACCAAACAGGAAGGCAGGCAGGAAAGAGAAAATAAAAACAAAACACACCGGTGGTGAGTAACAGAAGAAAAAGGAAGCACAATGAATGGACTGGCCAAGCACAGGCCCACACACTATTGTTTATTACCCCCAGACAGCTCTTTACTAGGAAACTGTGATTCATTTTCCCAGGAAGTGAAGTAAAAATAACATCTGTGTATGAGGCCTTTCAAATTCACCACCTTCGTATCAGAAGGCCCAGGGCTCAATCAATGAGTTTCAGGTAATTTTAAAAAGGAAAACCTTCTCAAACCAATTGCATCAGATCCCTAATGGGCATCTCCACAGGTGAGCTCTCTCCCTTCCATTTAATCCAACATTCGGCCATTGATTAATTTTTCTTTTTCTTTTTAAATGTTTATTTTTGAGAGAGAGATAGACACAGTATAAGCAGGGGAGGGTCAGAGAGAGAGGGAGACACAGAATCCGAAGACAGGCTCCAGGCTCTGAGCTGGCTGTCAGCACAGAGCCCGATGCGGGGCTCAAACCCACGAACCATGAGATCATAACCTGAGCCGAAGTCGGATGCTTAACCGACTGAGCCACTCAGGCGCCCCGGCCATTGATTAATTTTTCTAACACACAGCTCCAAGGTGTGTCACTTCTGAACCCACTTCTTCAAGCTGAAGTGAACACAGCAGAAGATTCCTTGGGTTGGCATTCAAGATTGCACCCACCCCCCATCCCCCCAACACTCATCTGGGACCATCCTGACTTTGCAGTCTTGTCTTCAATTGAATCTTCTCACAGGCCCCATAGAACTACTAAGCTGAACTACAACTTCCTTCCAAAGACATTCCTGGGTTCCTGACCTTGTCTTATGCCGAATTCTGTGACTCAGTACTCTTCTTTTTGGCAACAGCTATGTAGCCAAATCTTCATTTTCCTTAAAAGCCACTCACGGCAAACTCCTTTGTAAATCTTCTATCTACCTACAACAGAGCCTAGAGATCATGTCTCCATCATCTGGACTCCTTCCTGTTGATATTTACCACTAAATACCTTCTGTAATAATTGTTGGGAAGAACAAAAAAAACACCACAACAGGCTGGTGGAATAAAATTAAACTTTTTAAAGTATACAATTCAGAGTACATTCACGGAATGATTATCACCACTATTTCATTTCAGAACATTTTCATCATCCCAAAAAGAAACCCAGAACCCATAAGCAGTGAGTCCCCAGTCTTCGGTTTCCTCAGGTCCTGGCAACCCCTAGGCTACTCTCTATTTCTGATTTGTCTGTTTTGCAGATTTCTTATCAAGGGATCATACAAGACTGGCTTCTTATCCTTAGCATGTCTTCATTCATTTTATATCACGTATCTGTACGTCACTCACGTTTATTGCCAAATAGTATTGTTATATAGATACACATTTTGTGTATCCATTCATCAGCTGAACATTTCTTCTGGGTATCTACAAAGTTGGGTATATACAATAATACTCCTAATGAGTCACCTGGTAACTGTATGTTTAACATTTTAGGGAACTGCTTAACTTTTAAAAAACTGCCAGAATTTTAGCTGTTACATTTACGTCTATGATCCATTTTGAGTTGACTTCCGTACATTAAAGGTCCGAATTCATTCCTTTGCCTGTAGAAGGCCAGCTGTCTCAGCATTTCATTGACAAGACTATTCTTCTCCAGTTGAATGGTTATCAAAAGACCATACATGTAAAGGCTCAGTTCTGGACTCTCTATTCTGTTGCTCTCTAAATCTATTCTTAGGACAGTACAGCACTGTCTCGATTATAGTACCTTGGAGGTCAGTTCTAAAACTGGGCAAGTGTGAGTCTCCCACTTTGTTCTTCTCCTTCAAGAGTATTTTGGCTATTCTGGGTCCTTTGCCTTTCCATAGGAATTTTAGAATCAGCTTGTGTGCTACTATCACTTAATGAAAATATTTTTTTATTTCTCTTGCTTTTACAGGGCAAGACACCGGTTGAACTCTATGCATTTGCCTACAGCACAGGGATATGCTTGTAAGAGAAACTATTATGAAATGAGTGAGAAAAACACAAACATCCCAAGCCTACCTACCAGATTATTCCTATGTGAACTATACAGAGAAAACAAGTCCCAGGTAAACTGAAAATCTCCAACTTCGCCCCATTTACATTTTCCAGGCAGTCTGACCCTTCCCCATCAGCAATGCTTTAAATCCAGTATTAAAAATGCACTGAGCTTCCACAATACGCTCTGCATTCCCCCAAGCTTACAAGAAATGTGTATAAAGAGCAGAGGTTGCTACTTAAAATTTTAGCACCTTCCTTAGACATGCACAGAAATCGCAGAGCGCTCTAAAATCCAGGTACGCTGTGCAAAATCCTTATAAAAATTTTCACACCTCTTTAAGAGGCCAGCCCTCACTTTGCAATCCAAGAAGTTTATAAGGATTTGTCCTTTGCTCGGGAGGGGGGTGGGGGAGAAATTCACCATCACCTTCCTGCTTAGAGGTATGCCGAGTCTGTGAAGCAAGATGCTCATTCAGTGTTTTTCTAAATTTGCCTGATCACAAAGAAGAATCCCCTAGAAACTGATGCAGAGGGTCCAGGGTAAGGCCTGAGCATCAGGGTGTGTAATGAGAGCCCCGGCTGATTCTCTTCAGGCAAGCATGCGAAGCAGGAGCTTTCAGCTACCAGCCTTATTTACACTTTTCTTGTGGTTTGCTCTCCACACTCAACATCTCCCGCTAGATGTCAGAGAACAGATGGAAGCAGTTAGCAAACCTCTCGTTCTTTCCATGTTTTCTAAAGATAGCACCCCACACCTACCTAATTTTGTCCACATCTAAAATCACATTCAAATGAAAAGGCTTTATAAAGTCATTAAAGTCATTTCCCCATCCACATAGGAACTAAGAAGCAAGGCCTCCTGACACCGCTCAAGGCAAATTCTCTAACGTTGGGGACTGCACAGTTTACTGTCAACTCTTACTCCATTATTAGTATTTGCTGTCAAGCTTTCCTTATGGGGGGCAGGAGGGAGGCATTGAAAGAGCTATTTTTTAAAATTTAACTCTACCTAGAAATAAAAGCAGTAAGCACATGACAGAAAACAAAAGACCAAACAACAACAAATAACCCACACTCCAACAGGATATTTACTCCCATTTTCGTATTTAATAAAATATATTTAAATATTTAACTTCCTTTTAAATGGCCTCTTCTGAATACTGAG